TCTTAATTCTTTTTTTTTTTCCAATTTGCTAATTAAAATTTTTTTTGTGTATGAAGGACAAAATTGATCATGAATTCTGTGACTTCTTGAGTATGTGAATGTTTCTTCCTTTTGTTAGTTATGTGACAAAATTTGATGTTTCTTAAGTTCTGTGACAAAATTAATTCGTTTATTCCTTTTGTTAGTTGAAAAGGGACATTATTATGTTTTTTTTGGACCTTATATTTATTTTCGTGGACTTCTATTGTATCTTTATCGTAAAATATTATCCTAAAACGTCAAAAGGGCGAATAAAAAACTATGCTTTAGTTTATTGTGATTTTACTTTTATTTTGTTGGTATTTAAATTTATAGTAAATATATTTAGTTTGTTTTAGATTTATTTTTAGTAAGATATAAATATATATTAAATTAATGACATAAAAGTAGATACTAGACAGGAAAAAAAATATACGCGAAACCGACGGTTTAAAACCGGACCAAACCGTTAGGTTTAGATTTGAGTTTTTTTCAAACCGGTCAAAACGGTTTGGTTTAGGTTTGAGTTTTTCTCAAACCGGTCAAAAAGGTTTGGTTTGAAAATTTGTCAAAAACCTCAAAAACTGGACCGCTTACACCCCTATTTGGAGATGGTTACCTAGAAAATAGAGTTTTTTTTTTAAAAAAAATAAGTAAATATGCATCGTTGCTGGTTTAGCAGAGGATATTATGTTGAATTTCAACATTTGTAACTGCATTTTAATTAATTGTGGATATTTTGGTTTCCAAGTACAAAACATGTACCCTGTTGAATTTAGTATCTTGTTTGTGTTATTTCATCTTGGAGATCACTTCTTTCACTTTGTTAAGAGTTTCACATCCCTTGTAAGTATAGAAACAAAGAGCATCACCAGACCTATTTTTAGAAAAAAGTATTCCATCTATTTTAAGATATGGTTTTCTTCAATTTTCCAGTAGTGATGGGGACATAACTTTTTGGACCTTGTGTAAAAGAGAACATGGAAATTCCTTCAATTTCACCTGGTTTTGAGTCATTTGTTCCTTTCACCCTAAAGAGGGTGGAAGATGATAAAAAAAATAGTTACCGTGCTTCTACTGGTACTTCTGGAACACAGACAGTTCAAATAGAAACAAAGTTTGAGAGTAGTGATTTGAAATTCATGAAGTCCCTGAGACGTAGACCTTGGATTAACCACAGCCAATTTAATAACAATTCGGGTGATGCTATCGGCTGGTTAAATTTAAAGTTAGTTCGAGTGACTTTTACCCAAAAATATATTCTTTGTATGTTGTGAGAACAATTTCCTTCCCCACTATCTCACAACACCTATTGGCCAAAGTTTATCACGTGTCCAAAGAAAAAGAGAGGGAAAACAAATGTAATACTATATATGTTCTTGTAGAATTTCTCTAGCTTTCTGTTTATATATTATAGTATGAAACTGAGAAGCTTTATGTTGATATGTGAGAAGCTTTCTGTTTGTACCTGAACATACTTGGCACAGGCCTGAACATCAATATGGAAAGGGTGTCTAAAGAGGTTTATATGAAATCAATACAGGCGGATCCAGATTTTAGGTTTATATGAATGCATATATATCTTGTGAAATAAACAAAAATTAACAAGATTATGGAAACTTTGTTACCTATTACACAGAATACTACTTAATTGTAAAAGAAAATATTGAGCTTAAAAAATATTGAAGGTCGTCAATAATTTACCCCTTATATATTTCAAAATTCGAAGAAATAAATATAGGTAGCAATGCCCATTATTTGGTATTTCAATTCGATGAGGATAAAAATTTCTTTTTGCTAAAATTAGTGGCTTTGGAAATGAAATATATGTAGATATTATGCCACATTAATTTGTACATGACTTACTTTTCCAT